TTGAATCTGGAGCGAGATTGGGGTACTGAGCAACATGTTTTACAGCGCTAACTCTGCAGTTTAATCATATTTTGAATCTGGAGCGAGATTGGGGTACTGAGCAACATGTTTTACAGCGCTAACTCTGCAGTTTAATCATATTTTGAATCTGGAGCGAGATTGGGGTACTGAGCAACATGTTTTACAGCGTTAACGACTCTATTTAGCCAAAATGAGAACCGGATGCGAGCTTAAGTGTACTATTTGTTTTACAGTACTAATGACACAATTTGGCCTTGTTGAGAATCTGGTGCCAGCTTAGGGTATTGAGAACTAGTTTTACATCACTAACGATACAATTTAGTCATGTTAAAAATCTCATACCAGCTTACGTTTACTATGTTCTACATTAATAATAATAATAATTGCATTTATATAGCGCATATCCATGCTCAAGAGCATGCTCTATGCCCTTTACAACTATCATTACCCCAGCAGACCCTCGCTGAGAACACTAGGAAACATTCTCAGCTTCCGCGGAAGCATACAGTGCAAGCTGCGGATTTCACGCGCTCAAACACTATCAAACTGACAAGATCGTTAGCTGGGTACCCATTTCCACCTGGGTAAAGTGAGGAAAATTTGTGCAAAGTGCCTTTCCCAAGGACACAACGTTCGAACCCACGACCTTACAGTTGCGAGTCCAAGAGCCTAACCACTAGGCCAGCGACGCCCCACTAACGATACAATTTAGTCAAGTTGAAAATCTCATACCAGCTTTCATTTACATGTTTTACAGCACTAATGACACGATTTAATCATGTTAATTAAGATTCTGGTGTGAGCTTAGGGTATTGAGAACTTGTTTTACAGCGCTAACAATACAATTTAGTCAGGTTAAAAATCTCAAACAAGCCTACCTGTGCAATTTTATTTTCCAGCCGTTATGATACAATTTAGTCATATTGAGAATCTGGTCACGGCTTACATGTACTCTTTGTTTTACTGCGCCAACAACACAATTTAGCCAAGACGAGAATCGGGAGCCAGCTTACGTGTACTATTTGTACGTGTACTATTTGTACGTGCACTATTTGTACGTGTACGTGCACTATTTGTACGTGTATTATTTGTACGTGTACGTGCACTATTTGTACGTGCACTATTTGTACGTGTACGTGCACTATCTGTACGTGTAGTATTTGTACGTGTACATGCACTATTTGTACATGCACTATTTGTACGTGTACGTGCACTATTTGTATGTGTACTGTTTGTACGTGCACTATTTGTACGTGCACTATTTGTATGTGCACTATTTGTACGTGTACGTGCACTATTTGTACGTGTACTGTTTGTATGTGTACGTGCACTATTTGTACGTGTACGTGCACTATTTGTACGTGTACGTGTACTATTTGTATGTGTACTGTTTGTACGTGCACTATTTGTACGTGCACTATTTGTATGTGCACTATTTGTACGTGTACGTGCACTATTTGTACGTGTACTGTTTGTACGTGTACGTGCACTATTTGTACGTGTACTATTTGTACGTGTACTGTTTGTACGTGTACGTGCACTATTTGTACGTGTACGTGCACTATTTGTACGTGCACTATTTGTACGTGTACGTGCACTATCTGTACGTGTAGTATTTGTACGTGTACATGCACTATTTGTACATGCACTATTTGTACGTGTACGTGCACTATTTGTATGTGTACTGTTTGTACGTGCACTATTTGTACGTGCACTATTTGTATGTGCACTATTTGTACGTGTACGTGCACTATTTGTACGTGTACTGTTTGTATGTGTACGTGCACTATTTGTACGTGTACGTGCACTATTTGTACGTGTACGTGTACTATTTGTATGTGTACTGTTTGTACGTGCACTATTTGTACGTGCACTATTTGTATGTGCACTATTTGTACGTGTACGTGCACTATTTGTACGTGTACTGTTTGTATGTGTACGTGCACTATTTGTACGTGTACGTGCACTATTTGTACGTGTACGTGTACTATTTGTATGTGTACTGTTTGTACGTGCACTATTTGTACGTGCACTATTTGTATGTGCACTATTTGTACGTGTACGTGCACTATTTGTACGTGTACTGTTTGTACGTGTACGTGCACTATTTGTACGTGTACTGTTTGTACGTGTACGTGCACTATTTGTACGTGTACGTGCACTATTTGTACGTGCACTATTTGTACGTGTACGTGCACTATCTGTACGTGTAGTATTTGTACGTGTACATGCACTATTTGTACATGCACTATTTGTACGTGTACGTGCACTATTTGTATGTGTACTGTTTGTACGTGCACTATTTGTACGTGCACTATTTGTATGTGCACTATT